CAAAGGTAGCCCCATAATTCGCAGTTCCGTTACTTGTCATTCGTGCCTTAATTGACCTTTCTACATAATATCTTTTTGCAATATTTTTTATCTTTAGAAGTCCAATAAAAAACGAACACTATGATGTAAAAAATATTTACACCCAAAATGACAATTTTTTTAAAAAAGAAAAAAAGAAAGCAGGATGTTTCGTCTGTCCCCTACCAATACGGGACGAAAATCCTACCCCATCCCTATTCATTGGACCAAACGAGCTAGTCCCAATCCTGTCATGTCCTATGAATAGCCTTTAGAAGTATTAGTTATGGAGCTGTTGATTAAACCCAATTCTTTATTGTCTTTTCATATCATTTTAAGGGTTTTTATCATAATTAGTAGCTCTTTTAGTGTTTATTGTGCTTAAATTATATTAAAGTGCCTTACCTTGAATTAGTGCATAATAGGGGCAAAATTGTCATAATTGGAGATTAATTATTATTAATTGATTTCTAGGATAATTGATGCTATATTATGTATGATTTTCCTTGCAACACCTAACCTTCTATATACCAGTAGGGTCCACTTAACATCTGTGGATTACTAGATGCCAGTGTTCTATTATAGAAAATGACAAAAAAAATTTTATATATATATATAAATACTGACGAGTGATTCACACACTTGAACCCTACTTCTGAAGCACGTATGATAGGCATACAGATTTAAAATAATACTACTATTATATAAGTTACTACCCTGGTCATTCAGGACAATGACCCTTACCTGAGCACTGAAAATACACACTCCCTTAAAGAAGAATACAAAATAGTATAATTACTAGTAAGTGGGGGTTATTTGCTCTTAAACATCTAATAAGTCAGATAATTAAATATCAAAATAATTATTCTATAGGTACAAAAGTAGCAGGCATTCCTGCTCTTCAAACAAGCCCACCTTCAGCACTTATGACTTCCTTACTCTTGGAATTGCTTACTCTAGCTGTATAATATAGGAAGGGAGGGTGAGATTCGAACGAATCCCCGTAGTAGTAATTTCCATCAAACAAATGTGCAGATTACATAAAGCATGCAAAACAAGTCAAAGTGGAACATAACCTTACAAGCTAATGCAATTAAGCATTTATGCGCAATGACAGATAGATAAGCTGAATAAATAATGCGCAAATAATTGGCAATCACTGCCCCATGTCTATCAACTACACGTGATCACGGCTAAATAATCCATGCAAGGAATTAAGGATTACGTGTTCTCATGCTTTAGAAAAGCAATATGGTACAAACAGACATGCAGCAATCATACAGAAGTGTAAGGTAGGAAAGAACTACTACCTGAACCTTCTGCTTCAAAATCAAACCTTACTTGTTTCCTTTCTCTTAGCTTCTTCGGTAGGCTTTTGCAGATATCAAAACCTATTATTTTAGTAAGGGTAGGTTAATGCTTGATCCAACTAAAATTCATAAATTAGAAATCTCTCTTTAAATCCCAATCCTTTTTCAATCTCTACCCTTACTTAATAGTTGGTCATCCTGGACAATTTTTCTTATTTAATACATTTACTGTGGAGAGTTTCTCTCTTTATCTCAGCCCAAATAGTTACTTTTCTTAGTAACTGATCATCTTAGTCAAAAATAATATATTATATACACACACAAGTCTTCTATCTTTAAAATATTTTCTATTAACACTTCATATTAAATCTCAAAATTATTCTCCAGTTTTGAAAATCATCGTCACAGCACTTTGATAAATTTCTAACCATATTCCAAAACAACTATATATAACAACTCTATTAGCCTTTAATTACTCTTATCCCCTTGCCTTACAAGCTTACTAATCGAAAGTGTGTACACATACACAAATATATACTTTATAGCACTTCCCATGCCAAACACCTAATACTTAGGCGCCTATGCTAGAGTATAAATTATTATTTTTGTACTTCTAACTTGCTTCTAAAATTGGCTTGGCTTAATTAACTTCATACTGTAATTTCCAAATCCATACAATTCTTCACTTTAAGTCTAAAAGAGAAATTCCAGATTGGATGCCAATAGCTAAATCATTCCACTCAACATTCTATAGGTTCTTTTATCAATAAAATCCAATGATTTCTCAACACTTTGTAACAAAATATCCCTTGGTTCAAAGTTTCACATTTTAGAGTTCTAATCAATTTTCCTCTTAAATTCAAAAGTCCCCAAGCTTCAACCATTTCTATTCACCATTCGATCATATAACAAATTAACTTACATAATCATCACTTATCATTCAAACCCTTAAGAACAAACCATACATGGTTCTCCTCCTAATAAATTTTGAGTATCAAGGTTCTAAAACCACACCCTTATTTACTTATTTATTTAGACAGCATTTCCACATCAACTCTAAGCTTCCAAAGTCAATTCTTCATATCACCACTAAACAGCTGCGCATCATTATTCTTTATATTCCTAATCATTCCTTCCATTAAACTCCAACTCTCCCACTCACACTTGAATCCCAATAAATTTTTACCCTCAACTCAAAATCCTTATTTCAACATCTTGTTTCAATTGCTAACTTAAATCTGGAAATTTTCATGTTGGAGAACAATATTTAAAATAACTAGCTTAGAATCTTTAAACTTAAATTCCAGATTTACAGCTCACACACCACTACTTCCTTCTTTCTCATATATCTCTCGCTACTCACATTCCAGCTCCCACGGTCACACTCAAACAATTATATAAATATATAAAACCCAAACTCAACTCCATTCAACAGCAAAATCATCATCTTTCTTCATTCCATTTAAAACCCATACATCCATGTATAAACATACATCTCCGCCACTTTAGTTTCTAAAATTTCAGTCCCATGATAGCAACATTAATCAACATATCAGAGACATCAAAATTGGAAGACCTGTAACCTCCCGTCACTAAATCAACCAGAAAATATATACTTATATGTACATATAACACAGGCCCATAAGCTAAACTTTATTCTGCTACATATTGTGTATACATATAATATTATATTATATTCTTCCTAACTTACAGAACCTGAAGCTACAAGTATCGAAACTATATATATATCAGTTCGGTCTCCACTCAAACAAGAAACGAAATCAGCATGCAGCGACAAACCTCTGTTTTTCGGCAACCAAAACAGAGAAGGAAAACAGCACATGCAAACTCAAAAACTAGCACCATATACTTCAATATTGCCATATAACATGATCCCACCGATCCTTCTCTCCTTTCCTTAACTTTCTCTCACTAAACCCAACTTCAACCTTCATCAACACCTCAAACAACCCCTGTTTAACGACAATAAAGATGCGAGAAGGATTAGAGAGCTCACCTGGAATGTTTGATCGGTTTGCATGCACTGGATACTATCTCCGGTCACTCCTCCAGCTCCACCAACTCAGTTTCTTCCGTGCTCTCCTTCTCTCACTCTCTATCTCTACCTCTCTTTTCTTTTGGGCACCGAACGAAATGAGTTAGACACGTGGGTAACCAGCTGTTACATGGAGGAGTGAATCAGATGGCTATCAGAGAAGGTAGCACGTGTATTACAAAGTTCCTGGACCAATCTTGACCTCACACATAATTATTTCTCCAATCCTATCATTTCTCCTATTTTTCTGAAATATAAGATATATCCAGAAATTAAACCAAAATATCCTGAATGGATTTTTCTTATCCATAACAATTGGTTATCCTAAAATTCTTAGATTAAATATAAATCTCTAAGTATTTTTCCATAATTTCCAGAGAAAATAAAGCATTCTTCTCTTAAAATTATCTATTAAAATTATTTAAGCCATTTTTGGGGAAATACCTTTTCCAAAATATCTCTAAACCCTAAAAATCATTATTCCATAATTTTCCCCCTTTATTTGGCAAATAAATAATTTTAATAAATTTTTCTCTTTTCTACTCATCATAAAATTCGGGGTGTTACATTCCTTGTAGGTACTTTGGGAGAAATTTGGGCAAATTTGAAAATCACACTTTAGTCCCAACATTAAAGGTAGTAAAAGACTGGATTAATTGCAGAAAAGTCAATGAGTAAATGAAGCTTTGCGTTTTGGCTGAAAGGTACCATCCGCCGTGGCGGATTTGTCAGAATTGCAAAAGTCACGATTTCAACATTCTGATTTGGATCCCTAAGCTTCAACCCGACCCCAAACCACCTCTAGTAGCCAGTATAAGCTGAGTTTCAACCTAGGGAAGCCTTATTCGGTCTCTCCTCACCTTTCTTTGGCTGAATCATCCTCTCATCTCTTCCTTCCACCAATTCTTCATTACATACCATCATATTTCCCTTTAATCCGTCCATAACCTCTTCTTCTATGGAGATTCAACTGTTGCTGCTGGTTGGAGCAATGCTTGGAGTTATGGAGGGCTAGGGGTTCTTCAACTCTTGAAGATGGCTGATTGGCATGAGTTCCAAGAGCTTCAAAGGGGAGTTAGCTTCATCCATAGTTCTAGTTGTTTATTTATGAATTTCTAGGTCTTAGGATTTGTAAATTGGGGCTGAACTGTTTTGATTATGGTTGTAATCAATTCTGGATGATTATCTTGTGTATTGGATTAGTTAATGTTGAATTTGAGCTTCAATATATGTGGTTACATATATGTAACAATCTTGCAATTTATTATACTAAATTATTGGTTAATAGTTTCTTTTTATTGCTGTTGTAGCTGCAACCAAGTAAATCATGTGGTTTAATGGCTCTGGAAGTGGCTGAAGGCATTGGAGGTTCTGGGTTCAAACTAGGGCCATCTCTTTGGAGTAATTTAATTTTTGTTTCAGCACTATTGAATTACTTAAATACCCTTAGAGTAAAAATAAAATAAATAAACAAAAAAAAAGTATCAGATTTTTTTTCTCTCTCCCGATGCTCTTCATTTTAGCGAGAGAATGGAGGAGTAGAACAAGTTTTTCAAAGCTGAATCCCTAACCCTTCTTTTTCTTCTTCAACGGTTGCATCTCCCTCTGTCCTCCACCATTCACTTTGCAGTCTCCGACGTGCATTCTTGCAGATTATTTCTCCTCTGTTTTCGCTGCAGAACATTGCTAGAGTTTGGGGTGTTTCTCTTTCATTTGGAGTCACTTTCTCCCCTTTTTCTGGTCTGTCTTGCAATGTAGGAGTATGGTGTAAGTTTAGGTGAGTTTTACCCTTCTTGTTGTGCGTTTGGGGCTGATTTTGGTTGATTTTGGGTGGCTATGCGAATTTTCTTTCCATATTCGTTTCTGCAGAATTTTGGGTGTGGGTGGTCACGGGTAGGATGTTATCTTCTTGGATCTTGTGATTTTTGGCTTGGGTATTAATTGGTTTGGTTGCTGGAAGTTTTGAGATTTCAAGGATTATGGGGGTTGTCTTAAACGAAACATATTGAGGAGGAAGGATTTTATATTTTTTTTACGGGTGATGCATGGTGATTGCTTGCAACTATTATTTGAAGCTTGAAATTATTGGGTGCTGTTTATTTTGGTCTATGAGATGAATTTAGTTAAGAAGGAAACCTGAAAAAGTTTTTGGTGCGGATGCTTGTTCACAAAACAATATTGAGTGCTCGTGGGGTGTTTGAAAAAAATGTCTACATGAGCAAAAGAATTTCTTGATAGGTGTTTATATAACATTTTGATGGAAAAGAGCAAGATAGATATTATTTTGGATTAATTATGATTAAACTTTGGCTTTCAGGAGATACATGAAGGAAATAAGAGTTGATTGTCCTTGTGGGTAGAAAACTTGAAGGTTGGAGTTTTACGTTGTTATTGGGAAACAAGTGAATTATAATTTATATGTTATGCTTGCCAACTATTATGCTAATCTTTGAATATTTTTGACATGGATGGGCTTGTTAGAGTTGTAAGAGATTGTTGATAAATGATTTAGATGTATATAAGTTATAAATGGGGTATTAATAATGTTTTGTTTCGGGACACTAGGGGATTGAGGAGTGACCATAACTCAAGGATGTGCTAATTGGAATGAGTTATATTTTGGGAGCATAACAGGTGAGTGAATAGCGTCCCATGGTCATAAATTCTTATTTTAAAAAAAAACATTTAGCTTCTTTAAATGGTCTGTCAAGGTGATTTAACTTAAATCTTATTATTTTTTTTCCAATCTCACTTATTTAATGTTTTAATGTTTTATTACTTGAAGGAATATTTATCTTGTTATATGTTGATTAAAAGTTCTGCTTACAATTTGTTAATCTTCATTTTTGTTTCTAATAAATATTTATACTTGGAATTTGGAAAGGAGTTTTGAAAATATTATTTGAAAATCTTCATGCTGGGATCATCTGTTGTAAAATACTCCTTAAAGGATTCCATTCGTGGAAATAAAATATATAAATATATATCCCTCTGGTTGTTAGTAATAAACTCGATCCCATGCATGCTTGTATGCTTTTTTTAGAGGTCTGGATACAGAACGCTGGTCACTAACAGCAGCACTGTTAGTCCTTGGCGCGCCATGGTAATTTCGAGCTCGCTGGATATTCGTGGGCATCGTTCCCGCGCTTGTTTCGTGGCATTGGCCGCGCTCGATTGGTTACTTACCCTCGTGGACTATGTGTCCACGCTTGTATTCGTGGCTTCAAGCTGCGCTTGCTATTCTGTTCTGTTGAAGTCCTATAAAAGTATTAGTGTTTAAGAAATGTTATTTTATAATATTTTTGTGTAACAAGCTGTCTTATTACAAATTTGGATTTAATTGTTTGATGAGCCTGAGTATACATTTATCTTTCAATTTAAGATTGTGTACTGTAGAAACTTTAATTCTTTACCACATAGTCATTCCAAGTAAAAAATTTAGTCTTATTGCATTCATTTGTTATTACCTTTTTAAATATTATCTATGGGATGTTATTCACCGGTAGATTCTTTTGTTGACTTCAGACAGTACCACTGACCCTGTACTCCCAGCTGAGCAGTAAAGAGCCTCATTGAAGATCCAGAACTTGAGACTTTATTTTGAGTAACTGTTAGCTAATGTAAACTCAAAAGTACATTTATGTCTTTACTTTTAGAATTTGATGCTCCACGTAATCTATGTCTAGGTCCTCATCTTTTGGGTTATTTTGGATTGTAGTTATATATATACTGGTGCTGGGGAACTGAGCCCCAAGTATTGTTTGAATTGGCAGTCTATTGTAGAATTTTCAGGAAGTCTAGATTACAGTGGAGGCTCTGTTGAAAATTTCTACAAATAGTTTTATATTTTGTATCACAACCTGATTAAGTATATGAATGTTTTGTTTAATGGAAGCCTTTATTTATGTTTATCCTAAAAATATATATATTAGTTAAACAATCCATATATTTAGGCTTAAGAGTGTGAGGTCTCTCATATTCTGTGCCGGTCACCTCCAAAGTTGGGGTGTGACAATATATGTTTCTATGCAACTCTTTTGATACTCCCTTTCTTGCATGGTATTGTTTGATTTTTGAGTTAATCTGGGCTTGCATTAAACCAAGTGCATTAATTAATCTTAATACAGACACTAAGTGAGCTTAATAGGATCTTATAAGATGGGTGGCCATTGATTAAGATCCTAGACTTGAAGGGTTCTTTAAGATTTTTCCTTTAGAAAACTTGGTGATTTTTACTCCCCAAAATCATTTTGAACTATGATTGCCAAAGGTCCATTTTCAAGAGGTTTTATCAACTATTTCAATACTTGTTTCCCATTCATTCCATCGTAATTTTCCAAAAATCCAAAAATATATTTACATTGTATTTTATCTCAATTAATAGTTTTAATGAAAACCCCCAACTTTACCCTAGTCAATTTGCATTTTCATGGCATTTAGTTAACTTAGGATCAATAGTTAAGGCTCCAACAAGTGAAATGACCCGAGGTTGTGCCTATAGTACAATTCTTGGTTTTAATTTTGAATTTGACCCTAAGGTGTAAGCAAGACAGGTCACATTTCAGCTGTCATTTAATATATCATCCATAAGTTAATTATATTATATTTATATTTAAAAACTAATTTACTTCAATGAAAAAAATTGCAATGAGTGGTCTTCAACCTGTAGGGTACCTTCCTAAAATGACAGTTTCATTGTCATTTTTGTGGTGCAACTCCACCAATAGAATGCTTATAAATTAGGAAATAGATAGCCCCACGTAGAAAGTAGAAACATAATTTTCAACAATGACCAAAATGTTTTGAAACTTCACTACATTCCCTTGTATCAAAATTAAATTAAATTTCTTGGATGAAAAGACATTGTTGCCTTGTTTTATTCTTTTTTCAAAATGATATTTGTCACCAAAGCTTCAGTGACTAGAGTTTCGACCAGCCACTAAAGTGCCAGAAGCTGGAGTTCCAACCTTTAGTTTCCAAGGAGAACATTATGCAAATAAGGTGATTAACGGGGGTTTGAACTTATCACTCGCGACACACCAAAAAAATTTTAACCAACCAAACCATCCAATCCTTTAATTATATAATGTGAAGAAAAATATATATAACAAAATAAATACAAGTATTCAAGTATGAATAAATAAGTAAAATAAGAAGATTTACGATGCGAATAAGGCTATTTATGAGAAATATAAGAGAATTATTTCACCTAGACACTTGTAAATTCACCTGTTGAATTCACACCTAGCTAGACATAAGATTTGTGTAATAAATCTTCTTATTTCATTTGGTCATCCACATTTAGCGACTCGCATTTGTTTTATTACATATATTTTTTCTTTATATTATATAATTAAATAGATTAGATGGTTTGGTGGTTGAAATTTTTTTTATGTGTAAAGAGTTATAAGTTCAAATTGCCCTTGATTACCTTATTTTCATAGAATTCTTTGGTAACCGGAGCTATGGCCAGCCACTAGAGGTTAGAATGGCAACCACCAGCACTCACTACAAAAAAAATTGACTTTCAGAGGTGACAAAAAATCACCACCACAAGTTTTAAGTCGCCACTGAAAAGTCATTGCCATAGCAACCATAGTTGAAAACTTTCAGTGGTGACCTTTTCTGTCACCACTGAAAGACGCTTTCAATGGCAGTATTTGTCTCCACTGAAAGATACTTTCGACAACGACCTTCTTGTCTCCCCTAAACGAACTTTCGACAGTGACTTTCTTGTCCTTGCTAAAAGAACTTTCAGCGGTAACTTTTTTGTCTCCACTGAAATTGATGCCCAAGAAAAATTGGCTTTACCGATGCCACATGATCACCGTCAGCTGCCATGTCATCACCAGCTACCTCCACCTCATTGTTGTCAGGTGCCACATCCTCACCGACCGGGTACCATGTCATCACTAGCCACCTCCACGTCATCGTCGGCCGCCTACACGTCACTGCCTCCCCACCACGTCACTGCCTCATCACCACTCATGCCATATCACTCCTCCCCACCACGTCACTGCCCAAATATTTTCATCTTAAATGTGTCTTATTCAAGGTTCAAGCTCGTGACCACCTCCTTTCGTGTCCCATCTTCTTGCCGTTGAGTTGGATTGAATTTGTTTATTACTATTGTAAAATAATATATATATTATTATATCATACTTTCAGTGTTGACATTAGAAAGTCACTGCTGAAAGTCAGACCTTTAACGGCGACACTAATAGTCACAGTTGAAAGTCTACTTTCAGCGGCGACCCTAGAATGTCGTTGTTGAAAGTGAACCCTTCAATGATGACATCACCACCAAAGGTCTTATATTCAGCAGCGACATAAAAGGTCATTTTAACAGTGACTTTTTTTGTCAGCACTAAAAGTTATCGTCTAAAGTCTTTTTTTTTTTTGGTAGTGACTCTAGTGGCTAGTCACCAAAGGTCAAAGATTTGGTATCTGAAACTCTAATGACGACTGATTTTTTTTAATATAAAAATTAAGCAATGGACACTAATGTCTTTTTTAGCCATAAAATTTAATTTCATTTTGATCTAAGAGGGTGTAGTAAAATTTCATAATGTTTTGAAATATTAAAATTATGTTGCTGCAATATGGGCCATCTTAAATTTTTCCAATAAATTATCATAAAAAAATTTATAGTTAGTAAAAAATGACCACAACTTAATTCCAAATAGTCAAGGAAGATGAACGTTCCATTTCACACAAGAACTACCTCTATGAGAAAATACTTTTCTTATAGGTTAGGATCATTCTTATAGTTAAATTAAACATATCATTGATGTAAAACAAGAAGAGAGAATGAGGAAGAGAAGAGATTTGAGGAGGAAAAGAAGAGGCAAAAGAGGAAAAATAGAATAGGGAAAGGAAAAGTCAGGCGAGAAAACAACAAAGAACAACAACTATAATTTGATTCAATATTCAAGTCTGCCATCTAATGAGAAACCTAGAGTTACTTATAATAAAATAATAGTAAAACTAATAACAACAACAACTAATCCTAATAATAAAACAATAAAATACCAACAAATTTAAATAAATCTTAAAAATCTAAAAAATTCAAATATCCTAGACATATAATAAAGTCATAATTATCATATATTTCATCATTTCTCCCCTACTTGAAGAACTCGGCTCCAGACAAGTTAAAGTGATGCTTAAGGCTAGGGAGGGAAGGGCAAGATAAGACTTCAACATGGTGCCTCAATATGAAAATCCCTTCCAACAACTGAGGTACCAGAAGAGGAAACCTTAGAAGGAGTGAGCATTTGGAAAAACCCTTCTAACAAACAAGATACTACCAGAGTGATTCTTTCATAAATGAGGTGATCTTGGGACATTTAGCTTGCAAAAAAGGTGGTGTTATAGAATGATTAAGCTGAATCTACTTGCATTTGTGCCAATTGAACAACCTATTGAGTATTATGAATAACCTCTACATGAGTTGCGGGCACCACTTCAATGAGCCTTGAAGTATCTTCTTCTGTGTTTAATAAAGGAGTTTTGATCTCCATTTTTTTGGTTACTAGGAGGGCCTCTTCCCTTTGTTTCTCTAGATTATTGATGAGTTTCATAAGCTTATCAATTCTCTCATTAATTCATTTTTCAAACTTACTGAGTGCATAGTCACATGATTGGTTCCAACAATCAAGTTTAGCTTCAAAATTTTCTATTCACACCTTGCAATCAAGTTGTCGTTGTAGGACATGCTCATAACAATAATGATATGTAGGATCATAGCATAGTATAATCTGCATAGTCATACTACTCCCGGTTGACATACCAATAGGGGTGAGTAGTGTATTCAATACAGTCATGATCATTATCCTTATATGGGATGTCATGTGCATAGTGATGGTTCTTATAAGGATATTCTCTATAACTCATGCTTAGAACTAAGTAGCATAACAATTCTTTTCTTCATCTCCCCTTTTTTCTTTTTCTTTTTTTAAACTAACCTTTCTGCCATCTAATTTTTTTCTCTCTCTTTTTTTTTTAAATTTCCTTCTTTCTCTCTTTTTTCCCCCCTAAAATTGTAAAGAACTAAACAAAACAAATAAATATCAATAAAAAATTGAAAAAAAAACCCAATCTTTCAGTAGCTTCAGAAATGTCCATAATTGAATAATGGCTGAGCAATTTTCACCAAATTGGGTCCAAAAGTTCAATTCCTGCCAAAAGTCGGCTCAAAGTGTAATTTTCACAACAAGTAAACCCTGGGCGTTGCAACATTGATGGCACGTGTGATGCATGTGCAAAAACTTCCACCAGCACGTTGAAGAGCATGGAAGCTCTATTGGCTGTGAAAATTCAGATTCTGAACGAGTTAGTCAGTGAGATTCCAAAGGTTGTAGTTGTGAGATGCTTGCCATAAACGGCGGGATTTGATGGCAGCTTCTTGGCTCAATGAACAGCATCGCATGGGAAGGAGTTGGGCAGTCGTTTGGTCTCGAAATCTAAGGAATCTGGCCGTGTTTGTGCCAATGAAGATGATGGCGGTGGAGGTACAGTGTTCCGGCGTCAATAAGTGGATGCACGAAAGAGTGAAATGGCGGCTATGGGAGGTTTAAGATGTAGGTCATGTTTGGTTGCTCACAAAGAAGAGAGTTTTGGCATAGGAAAGGAGATGGGAACTGGCTCTCATGCCAAATTGATGTAAAACAAGAAGAGAAAATAAGGAAGAGAAGACATCAGAGTACGGAAAGAAGAGGCAGATGAGAAAAATAGAACAGACAAAGGAAAAGTCGGCGGAGAAAACAACAAAGAATGATAACTGTAATTTGATTCAATATTGAAGTCTGCCATCTAATGAGAAAACTAGAGTTACTTATACTAAAATAATAATAAAACCAAAAATAATAATAATACTAACAGCCAATCCTAATAATAAAGTAATAAAATACTGACAAATCTAAATAAATCCTAAAAATCTAAATAATTCAAATATCCTAGACATATAATAAAATCATAATTATCCCATATTTTATCAAGTACCCTGTAAAATCATTATTATTATATACTCTTGGTGTTATGTAGTTCTCATTTAATTTAGTATCATTTTTTAAGTGTTCTTTTATGTATTCCAAAGCTAATTCTCAATTACAGACATCGGATACTTCCAAAAACACGAAGCGTGCATGGGTGTGTGTACACACACATATATATTGGGTTTACTATGCCTATATTTCCCTTGAGCTAGATCAGCCAAGGACATGATTCATCATTAAGCATAACACCGTATTGCTGAGACTTGAAGCCTCTACTGTTTAATTAGCACAGTCGACGGGAGCAAAAGAAACTTTTCTCTGACTACGTCAAAGTCAATCTGAGCCACGTTTCCATAAATGGAATTTCCGTTTGTGGGAGACATTGCAACTTGCAAGGCATATAAGTGCTGAGGTTTTGAGGAAATGTTGGCTCCTTTGAAATGAACCTCGAAGTTGGAAACATTCTTGATGGAGTTAGCATTGGTGTGACACAGATGGAACTGAGGGTTTTGCACCATCACTGGTCGGCTCCAATGGCTTTCTTCACCAAAGTTTCAGCCTCCTCGTAAATGCTTGATCAAAGAAGTGTCAATGTCGTGCCAGAATCAATTACTACCTCCGGTCTTAATTATAAGAGCTAATTAACTAATTTGAGAAAATTAAAAAAAGAAATTAAGTTAATTATTCGTAATAAATAGGTATTGTCTTTCCTAAAATATCCTTACTAATCAAGTATGTTGGCTAAAACTATAATTATTAGAAGAACTATCTTGGAAAAAATTGAGTAAATATGGGAGACAAAATAGATTGGGGTCTTATATTTAGGATCAACATAAAAGTCAAACGAGATCTTATATTAAAGACCGGAGATAGTATTGTGTTTCTGTCGCTTTGATCAATCTGCACTGTCTATTGCCAAACGGTGATACCTGTCAAAGACCATTTTACTTGGATAATTCAGCCAGCAAAATAAAGATTCGTATATGATATCACTAGAACGTTTCGTACAAAATATTTAAAGGTTAAAGTCCTGAATTCTCCCACTTCATCCTATTTCAAGAATCATTTGAGCTCCCAAGTTCGAAACTTTAAAAAAAAAAACGAACAAAATAAATAAATAAATAACATTAATCTCAAAGTAAAACAGATATATACCTTCAAGATTGAGGTAGTAATTAGCGGGATGATCATTAAAATCGGCGATCATGGAAGTGGACACGACCCCATTAGCTGATATGTCGGCTTCTTCTCTGAATCTCTACTCAGTCGCAGCCTTTGCATCGAAAGGAGGCAAACAGTAGGAAAATCTGTGACCAATCTGATTACCAAGTTTTAAAATTAGGGGAAAATTAAAGGACCATTACCTAGTCCAAGTCCTGCCATGTGCTATTGAACTTCCCCAGATTCCCATGTCCACATCCAAAGACTGACTTAGGGAACGAAACAGATTGGCCATCACTAGTACCAAAACCGATCGAATCTGTGGCCAAATCTCTCAACGTGTAAGACTGATCTCCATATAAGTAAATGTACAAACACTGATTTGAGTTTCCGCGTTTATGTTGACGCTGAGGGACAAGAGCACAGTTGCTTGAGCCGCAAGACCGAGACTTGTAAGTGGAAGATTTTGTGGGATCAAACGATGAGACATCTTGATGGTAGCATTGAAAACAAGGTGAGCACTGGACACAGATCAGGTCGCTTCCTGTGTCTGCAACACTCCATCTTTCTACAGGTGGGCTACCAATGAAGATCTTCATAAGATAGCTTCCATGGTTTGGGATTATATCAGTTTGAGCCAGCTGCTCGCTTATTTCAGCTGCATTTTTGGAAGAAGATTGGCGAAAACGATTGACTCGAGCCAGGAAACACAACGCAGCGTTTCGAACGCCCTCCGAGTGGGTCATTGGGGAGTTGTACAAAAGGTGACAATGGCGAGTCATGATGAATGAGATCGATGCCGTAACCTTTTGGGAGCTTATTTGTTGCAGCGACATTATTAATAATATTGCACAAAGCTGAGAGATACAACAGGACAAGGCCCAGAAGGAGTGGAAGATTGTGCATGTTTGAAGAACAATAATAGTGGAGAAACACAAAGGAGAATTGGTGAGTGAAGAAGAAAAGGTTGAGGGTGAATGAACGCCAATGATTATGGAGCTCTCATTTTTCTTCCCTTTGTCGTTTGGTCTCGTATCCAAGCCTAATACCTTTCTCCAGAAATAAAGCAAGTACTGGCATGTGATAACTCTCTATTTTTAATATATATATATATATATATAAAGAATATTTTAAGTGATTTTTAGAAAGTTATCAATACATTTTAGGAGATTTCTAAGAGTTAATTGGAAGATTTGATTTTGAGCATGATTTGGAGGATTTTTTTTCAATAAATATCTTAGTTTTAAATGAATAAAAATAATTAATGTTAAGTTTAAGATTTAGTTGATTTTATCTTATCTTACTACCTCTAGTTCTAATTATTAAAACTAGTTGACTAATTTGAAGAGATTAAGGAAAAAAGTTAAGTTAATTATTTGTAATAAATATGTATTGTCTTTCCTAAAATATCTTTGCTAATTAAGTGTGTTGATTAGAACTACTATTGTTAGAATAACTACCTTGAAAAAAAATTGTATAAGTATGAGATACAAAGTGGACTGGGGTCTCATATTTGAAACCAAGATAAAAGTCAAACAAAGTCTTGATTAAGGACCGAAGGTAGTATTTCAATTTCTTATAGTTTACTTCCTTTCCTTTTATTTTATTTGCCTTTTCATTTTAGGTTTTCCTTTTATTTGTTTTATTTTCTTCTCCTTCCTTCAGCAAGCATCAACGCAGCGTTTAGGGAATTCTTGAATGGGATCATGAGGAGCACGTGCTGATTGAGGAGGCTGAGAAGACAACGTTTTGGAGAAGAATTTTTGAATCAGGGGAGGCCTAGTGATCATGGTTCATCATCGTCTGAGAGGAGGGAGGCGGAAAGGGCGAACTGGTTCTGGATCTTCTTCCTCTGAAGGTGGCCGACGGGTTCCGCAGGAGGAGAAGACGGTCATTACCGTCTTGAAGGGCCGAACTGGTTGTGTTCTTCTTCTCCGCTGAACCAGAGGAGAACGCGAGCTGCTGGGTCAGTTGAGGAGGATACTCTTGGCAGGCAGGGACGCTGACTCACTGGGAAAGCTTGGAGAATGCTGGCGAGGAGAGCTGAAACTTTATTGAGGAATAAGGAAGCCGGATTCATTGCCACTGCATTCAGAGCACCTCTTTCATTTTCCAGTTCACTGTTTCAGTTCTTTTCTCCTTTCCTTTGATTCGATTATGGATTTTGAAGAGAATTATTGTTGCTGAGATGATTATATTTGAGATCATGAGTAGCTAATTTTCTTTTTACAGCCTAGAGGAACTGTAAACTTGATAGTGGATTGAGCTTTGTTTTCATTGAATTGGAGATGCTTAATGTTGAAGTTTGGTTACTTAATCTTATTCTTTATTTGTCCATGACTGGCCACCATTAATTGTGTATTTGAGAATTAAAGTTTTCCTTGACAAAAAAGGATTTTAATTAAGCTCTTAGATTAATATAGAATTGGATGATAATCTAATTTGTGATTAGGATAGAAATATATCTAATTACCCTGTATAATTGTTGATGAGTGAGACCGATTTGTTTAGCCTCTTAGATAATTGTGTGAGAGATTGCATAACTAATTGAAGACAGGGTTATGAGTGGACCGACAAGTACTTGTAGCTAATTGAACTCTAAATTAACAAAATTGACATTAAAGTTAATCAATTAAGTGAAACAAGGTTTAAGAAGCTAGCAAGGGATTAGTAACTCTAGGTTGTTCTTTTTAATATTTGTCTAGTTAATTTAAGAAAGCTTTGTTTTGTTTATTTTAATTTCTTTTCACTCAGTTTTATGAAATTTTGATTTACTCAACTTAAATGAAAAAAAGAATTTTTATTGCTTAATCACTGTTAATTGAGTTCTCTGCGGGATCGACCTTGATTTGTCGTTATCTATTTTTGTAACCTGTATACTTGCAGTGCATCTTAATATTTGGGTTGTGACTTGTTAATAATTAGTGTTGTCAATCGAGTGCCTTTTGTTTTCTTTCTGCTGAAAATGTTTCGTACATTGCGTACACTGTATAATTAAGGTGACATTTTAAAATGTTTTGGAAAAAAAAAGATATTTCTTTAAAAACACTCGTAAAAGATTCAAGACTACATCATTTTTCGTCCGCAAGATATTAAAAGAAACAAGAAAAAACATTGGGAGAGTTGGGGGGAAAAAAAAATTAAGGGTCGTGGGGTTTTACAAGCACCCTAGATCGAAGTATGCATGTATGGAGAAGAATGATGGATCGTGTCAAACATTTTATGGAACTTTGTGTTTCTTTATTAATTTCACATGCCTGCATCTTGCACTCTTGACTGTTATGAGTAGTTCCATTGCTTAATTTCACACCACTGGTCCCGTAACGCGATTTGAGGAACAGTACGGTCAAATTACTTTGGGTCACCGATGAAAGATCGATTGGTTGAAAATGTTCTAATTTAGAAGTAAGTTGTAAATTAAAAGTTCTGAATCATTTGTAAATAATAAATGATAAGTCGTAAATTATTGATAAAAAAAATCAGTTAATATATGATGGGAAACTGAGTTATATATTCCACAAATTAATTTAGTTATAAATTGAGTTCACATGAGAAAAATAGGTTCTGATTTAAATTTTTTACATCTCATCTGTCACGATTCACTCCAATTTAATCAATTGGTATTTATTACCGATCATCTTCCTTTGATTTGGAGGCAAAAAAAAAAAAAACGATCATCTTTCAAGATCTATATTTATGCTTTGTTGACTTAGTAAACCATTTTGTTTATCAATTTTTCTTTCTCTTTTTTCTTTTCGTGACATGTTTATCAAGTTTTTTTCTTTTTAAAACATTATTCACCATGAAACTGTCATTGGCAAATTGGAGCAATTGATTTATAATTATCTTCATTATAGGGGTGCCATCTTCTTGGTTTCTTTTTTTAAATTTTAATCTATTTTACAACTCTCTTCTGCTTTATTCATTTCACTCATCTGCACCTGGACTACACACACACACACACACATATTGGGGGGGGGGCTTACATCGCTAACTAATCACACTTTTTTTCGTCCCAATTATCATCAGTCAAACTAATCCTTGTTAAGCGTACGGAGGGAAAATTAAACAAATGCCACACCTCTATATATAGACGCCCATCGAGATCTTTATAAGATTTCTTATAAGCCTGGTCCCTTCCCATAAGTTGCCTTATAGTCCATTGGTCCATATTAAGACAATATACTATTCATCAAGTAGATATAATTAACTATATATATATATATATTGTGGATTTGGGGTCCCCTCTGCTGCCCTCTAATATTTTTCCACCTTCAAAATGTTGTTTTTTGTTTCTCTTGATTATTGTATTCTATATAAAATAATGAAATTTTGATATATTATGAGAAAAAAATGGTGCAGTTTTAAGTTTTCTATGATTTTTTAAAGAAAAAATACTCTAAAATTGTGTGGTTTCTTTTTAATTTAGATATAAACTTTTTGAAAAATCATTAAAAAATTCAAAACTACTGCACTGTGTTTTCTCATAAAATATCAAAATTTTACTCATTCTATATAGAATATAATAATTAGAAGAAGCAAAAAAACAAACATTTGGAAAGTAATTAAGAAAAATTTAAGGGGCAGCAAACACCCTGTATGTTATTGCTTGTACTTGAAGAGTCTCTCTACTGTTTAGTGCAATCGGCTGGAGCAAAAGAAACTTTTCTCTGATCAAGATCATACTCCACGTCAAAGTCAATCTGAGCTATGTTTCCGTAAATGGAATCTCCATCTGTGGGAGACATCGCAAGGCATACCACATCGTTGGATACGAGAAGGAATAAGTGCTGAGATTTTAAGGAAATGTTGGCTCCTTTAAAATGAACCTCAAAGTTTGGAACATTCTTGATAGAGTTGAAATTGGTGTAACACAGATTTAATTGAGGGTTTTTCACTATCCACTGGTCGGCTCCAATGGCTTTCTTCACCAAAGTTTCAACCTGCTCATAAATGCTTGATCGAAGAAGCGTCAATGTCGTACCAGAATCAATTATTATGTTCCTGTCCCTTTCATCAATCTGCACTGTCTGTTGCCCAACGGTGATGCCTGTCAATGACCATTTTACATAGATAATTCAGACCGCAAAATAAAGATTCACATATAATATCAGTACAATGTTTAGTACAAAATATTTAAAGCTTAAAGTACTGAATTCTCCCACTTTATTATCCCATTTCAAGAATCATTTGAGCTCCCAAGTTCAAAACTTTAAAACGAAAATACGCAAGAGTAACATCAATCTTAAAGTAAAACAAATATATACCTTCAAGATTGAGAAAGTAAAAGGTGGGATTATTAGGGTTTGTGATCATGGGAGTGGACACGACCCCATTTGCTGATATCTTGGCTTCTTCTCCAAATCTCAACTTAGTCGCAGCCTTTGCGTTGAAAGGAGGCAAACAGTAGGAAAATTGGCGGCCAATCTGATTACCAAGTTGTGAAATTAGGGACAAAGGACCATTACCTAGTCCAACAAGTCCTGCCATTCGCCTATTGAACTTCCCAAGATTGTTATGTCCACATCCAAACACTGACTTAGGGAACGAAACAGATTGGCCATCACTAGTACCAAAACCGATTGAATCCGTGGCCAAATCTCCCACCGTTTTAGACTGATCTCCATACAAGTAAAGGTACAAACATTGATTCGATTTTCCGCATTTATGTTGACGCTGAGGAAGAAGAGCACAATTTCTTGAGCCGCAAGACTCAGACTTGTAAGTGGAAGATTTTGTGGGATCA